GGGGGGGGGGGGGGGGGAAGAAGGAGGAGGCCTACCGCTGCCTTTTTATTTAGGGTAAAGCATCTCTTGTTCGCCTTAACCAGCAACGGACGAATGACGGAGACAAATCGCACATGTTATTTCACAAATATTTTGCGAAACTAATCCACCGGCAGACCATGAAAAACCCAAAACACGCCAGGAAGACGGTAGGTTAGAACACACATTTTTGTGTTCCACCTCACTTTAGATGAACTGAGCCAGCAACACCTCTGCAGCTCACATCCAACCACAAAAATCGACCACTGAGTCGAAGTTTTGTTAACCCATTGGGCCACGGAGCACCTCTGAGTACGGCTGTACGGTGACCGAACAGGGCGAGATCGGGCCCGGGCTGCAGGAAACTGAGGAGACGGTGCGCTTCATGGAGAGGATGGGCGCCCAGCACTTCACCCAGCGCCAGGAGAACGACCTGTACGCGCTGGTCAAGGTCAAAGACGGCGCGGTGCTCGCCGAGACGTTCGTCAGGAACCCGCTGCCGGGACCGGGTCAGCCGCCCAAGCCGGGCAGTCCTCTGCTGGTCAGCGTCACGGCACCGGTGCCGCCCATCAAAGGTCAGGTCAGGCGCTGGGCTCTGACACCAGCCGTCAAAGGTCAGGTCGGGCGCTGGGCTCTGACACCAGCCGCCAAAGGTCAGGTCAGGCGCTGGGCTCTGACACCAGCCGTCAAAGGTCAGGTCAGGCCCAGACAACGCCCACCAAGGGTCGCGTCACGTGCTGGTACTGCCGCAAAGGCTGGATCACGCGTCACATCCAAATGTCAGGTCAGGTGTTAGTACTGCTAATTAACCTTCAACCTGATAGGGGGGGGGGGGGGGCGATGTTACTCCAATAGTTTTTTTTAGGATGCTTCTCCTGCGTATGCGCAATCGGTCCCAAATTTTCAGTACCCCATGGGACATTCATCGTACGCCCTTTAACTACAAAAAGGGTTCTTAGCTTTTCTGGTTTCGGGGGAAACCTTTCCTGGTTTCGGCGGTTTTGGGGGAACGCCATACGGCGATCTACGGTCTGAGCGGGCGGGCGGCGGCCACCGACGATCCCGCGGGCCACCCGCGGCGGGTGGACGGTGTTACCGTAACGGAGCCATGCATAATCAATAGACGCTCAAAACGCATTAAAATATATGCCATTGCACTTAGCATTGAACAAGAAGCACGCCTAATCAGATTGCTTTGCCATGAGGCTGTTGGCATTTAGACATTTAGATTGTGTTGTCATGTGTCGCCATGAGACTCATATGCATGATGTGCAAAGCCGGAAAATGCAATTTTCTGGAACCTTTGACATTTAACCTTGTCTTATGGGGTTCATAGTCGGTCCAATAATATGCAAAGTAGTGTCAATCGCGAGATCTCACTGAGACCAATCCACTGGTGTTTTTTTCACCAAGCTATATCTTCATTAGTTTGGAAACAATGGGGAGAAGGGTTGCGCCGTCCTTCCCCGATCAGTCTGCATTATAAAAAGCAACGAACCAGAGGAGGTTTAAATGTCGTATAAAATGCAGGTAAGTCCATCGTTTACGCTATAAGGGAATGTTACTGCGTATCGATGGTCAGGTTGCACCGCTAGCATTCCCTCAAAAGTGAGGTCAGGCACAAACTCGAAGCTCACTGAAGAACTTCAACACGTATATTGTATAATGACTCCTGTATGATGCACGCGTGCTGTATGATGCCTCCTGTATGATGCACGCGTGCTGTGTGATGACTCCTGTATGATGCACGCGTGCTGTGTGATGACTTCTGTATGATGCACGCGTGCTGTGTGATGACTCCCGTATGATGCACGCGTGCTGTGTGATGCCTCCTGTATGATGCACGCGTGCTGTGTGATGCCTCCTGTATGATGCAAGCGTGTTATGTGATGACTCCTGTATGATGCACGCGTGCTGTGTGATGCCTCCTGTATGATGCACGCGTGCTGTGTGATGACTCCTGTATGATGCAAGCGTGTTATGTGATGACTCCTGTATGATGCACGCGTGCTGTGTGATGCCTTCTGTATGATGCACGCGTGCTGTGTGATGACTCCTGTATGATGCAAGCGTGTTATGTGATGACTCCTGTATGATGCACGCGTGCTGCATGATGCCTCCTGTATGATGCACGCGTGCTGTGTGATGACTCCTGTATGATGCACGCATGCTGCATGATGCCTTCTGTATGATGCACGTGTGCTGCATGATAACTCCTGTATGATGCACGCGCGCTGTGTGATGCCTCCGTGCCCAGCCCTCGCGCACATGTGTGCTGTGTGATCCGCATGCGCTCTGTGATGCGCGTATGCAGTATGATGTCTCCGTGCTGCATCCCTCGCTCGCCCCGTCCGTCCGTCCCAGCGCCGTCAGGCGACGCGGCACTGCCGTCTCCAAACGCTGTGTGGGCTGTTGCTTCTGAACATGGTGTCCGCCAACAACGCTCTCTACTTCAGACGTCTTGTGCCCGTGGCAGAAAACGCCCAAGAACCTGAAGCTGGCCAAGTTCTGCTTCAAGTACGACGGCTATGGTGACCTGTGCGACTGCAAGAGTGAGAGCTCCCTGCCGATCGGTCACGAACAGGTGAGATACGCCCCGTCTCCGTGCAAGCGCATCGTCACTTAACGCTGTTACGAGCAAACAGCCGTGTTCAACGACTAAGGGCGGGACGAGTGATCCACCGATGATGACAATGCGACTGGTACCGTCTTCACATTCTGAATGGGAAGGCTCCACTGCCAGCTGGCGGCTTTGGATGTTGCGACAATGTATGTCATGACAAATATGGTCATGTCCTGTTGTTTATTTCAGCTGGAGCACAACAACCTCACGGACGTTCCCATCGCAGTTGTGGCTAGCAATCGCCCTCAGGCGCTCTTCAGGTAGGTTCGCCACGAAGCGACATTATAATTCACATCCAAGCACCCGCACTAGCGCAGCCGTGCGCGACAAAAACGACGATGAACGCTTGGTATGGTGTGCAAGACGTGACAACCAGAGCTTTGGCTTTGGCGTTTGTGGCAAATGATAAACCTCAACATGCATCCACCGATAGGAGAAGGCCTATTTTCTCCAAAGATGTGTGTTCGCTACTGGTGTTTGTTGTCACCAAGTCCGAGCACCACCGTCAAGTTTGTTAGTATGGTGCCTTCTCGCATCTGTTACCTCTATGCTGCCTGCTCTGTTTTCAGAATGATGAAGTCGTTGCTAAAAAACCGTGGAGTGATTGCCTCCAACATTATTGTGTTTGTGGATGGAGAGCACAAGGAGGTCGACGACCTCTGCCAGCTCCTGGACATCAAATGTGTCTCTCAGGTATGCCGGTCCCAACATTCTTCACTCGATATGTACAAAAACTCTATTAGGTTCCACTCAGGTGGTGTCTTTGCCAATGTCAAAACGATGCAATTAGGCAATTATCAGGCAATTATCTTTCATATACCACCTCTTTAAACAGCGGAGGCGATGCAGACATTTCATCCGGCTGCTTTCAAAACGACATGAACCACTTCCACGCCCATGTTTTACTGCACAAATATAGCTAATTGACAGGTGCCACACGGCCGGGCTGCTCGTCTATGCCACTGGCAGTGGGGCTGTCTGGGAAGGAAAGGACTACAGCCCTTTTGGCCTTCCCGCTTCCCTGTGCCGCCACGGCGCTAGTGTTGAGCCTTGCCCGGACACCCTGTATCTACGCTCTGCAGTCCGCTGCTGATGCCAAACTCATTGATCATGCTTCCACGCAACACAGCTGTAACCTGCACACTCACTGCTCACCAGATGAAGAGAACGGTCCGTCGGTGGTCCGCCAGCGGTCCGAACGTGGTCTGCCAGCAATCAGCCGGTCCGCGCGTGGTCTGCCACCGGTCCGCTGGTGGTCTGCCAGCGGTCCGCCGGTGGTTTGCCACCGGTCCGCCGGTGGTCTACCGGCGGTCCGCCGGTGGTTTGCCACCGGTTCGCCGGTGGTCCGCCGGTGGTCCGCCGGTGGTCCGCCGGCAGTCCGGACGCAACGTGCCGCCACACCTCCAACACTAATCGACCCCTCCCGCGCCCTCCGGCAGGTCAACGATTGGGAGGACGTGACCATGCGCATTCGAGAGCATTACCACCAGGTGCTGACGAACGTATGGCACCACTTCCCGGACGCCACTCGCGTCATCGTGCTCGAGGAGGACCTGGAGGTCTCGCCCGATTTTGTCAGGTGAGGTCACCTGTTCTGACCGACGACATCGCTTCTGCTGCGTGATCGATAGCGAGGGGAGGTGGTATGACCTCGTACCATCCGGCGACAAAAATATACGACGCCATCTAGTAGGTATGCATGGTGCAAGTTTATAGCTCATGCAATGCTACCGTGCGCAGTCAACCTGTCACGTAATGTCACATAATGTCAGGTACGATCGAAACTGATTCTGCACAACATCGAGTTCACTTATGCATGTGAATGTCACGGCTGAATATGATGCTAGTTGAGGTTGGAGCAGCCAACTAGCTACCCGTAATAAAAAAGCCAAGAATTTCCATTCTTTCGATATGACCTGTGCTTCGCTTAAACGGATCTTAATTTAATGCTGTACTATACATGGATGGCCATTTCATTAGCACAAATTAAGTGACACCTCTTGTTATTTAAGTGGTACACGGTAGAATAACGACTATGATTAACACGCATGAAATTTTAAAACTGACTGCAATACGATTTGATCAGGAATGACCCTAAAACATGTGAGCCGTTTTGAGGTTGCCGCCACCACTAAACAACTCACACTCGGTTGTGATACTCTCCTCTCCACCGTGACCAGCGATTAGGAGGCTGTCAGGTCTGCTCATGCATTCTCTGTGGCTTGTACCCGCAGCTTCTTCAGCCAGACGTCCTACCTACTTGACGTTGACCCCTCGCTGTGGTGTATCTCGGCGTGGAACGACCACGGCTTTGACATCACCAGCAGCGACCCAGCGCTTCTGTACCGGTGAGGCACAGGAGTAGGAATGAGCAGGAGAGGGTGGCATGCCCACTTTCGTGAAGTCTGCGAATAGTTGCAGTGGAAAAGCAGCGTTAGTCGTTCCACAATATACAGAGCAAACTCGCCTGAAAACAGTCTTTATCGTTGGGCTGGTGATCCTACCCAGGCTAACCACCCAAATGGTCTTTTCTTCTCTCCTTGTCTCCTTCTTTCCCTTTACTCTTCTCTGTTTTCTCTCCTTCACTCCCTCTATTTTTCTGTTTCTCTCTATCTCTCTGGAATATCTGAGCGGTAAACAGTGGCTCACACGTGATGACGGGCGGTGAGCCTGTCCCTCATCGGCGTGATTTATTTGCTGCGCGCTTGGGACTACCTAAATGTTGACGAGTACCTGACAGTGCTTAAAGGCAATGTTTCACATTTGAAGATGTTGGGGCAAGCATCAAATTTGAAGGAAAACGCTTGCTTGCATGCCATTACTTTTGGTGTACTCTTAAATGGAATGTTCCAGGTTTAAATATCTGGAGGCAGGCATCAGACATGATGGAATAAACTCGCCCGTTATTTTTGGTATGGTTTGCATGCAGTACTGCTCTAAAGAGCACGATTTCACTACATAGTAAATGTGCTCCTCAATACGTGATGGCTTGCGTCACGGAACGACCGCATGGCGCCAGGGTAGATGCCAAACTGGCCGTGCGAAATTACCTGCGTAGCGGATGGGCTGACTCACTTGTAATACTTGTAGTAAGCAGTCAAGAGACGTCGTGCTAATCGGTGCATTGTTTGCAAAAATGAATATCGTGAAGTGCACGTGTTTTGCTTCTTTTTCGTGATGTTCTTGCATATTTGTCTGTGGTTTTAGATAGCATACACGCATTCACATACTTGATTATGGTGCGGTTTTAAGCTATTCTATTTTCAGCATTATTTCCGCCATAGCTAGCACGACTACCCAAGTTCCTGTATTATGTAGCACGAAACGTGATTCGTATCTAAATCTTGCAGAAATCATGCTGACGTACGCCTTAAACAAAAAGCTCAATAGCAATATTTGTCGTGGCCCTGAGTATTACATGGCCAAGAACGTAATAGTAATTATATGACGTTTCTTTGGCTCATGTGTGCTTGGGTGAGCTTGACAAGGTATGTATGCAATAGTTTGCGCAAGTTTGCCGGCATCAGGGTCAGGAAACAGAAAGTTTTAAGCATTAATAAGCGTAGGGCTATGGACTGCACTAAATGACCTTTAAAATATCTATCTCAGTTCAAAAGCTTATACAAATGTGGAACACTCCCAAGTGGAAAACACTACTCTAGATAACACAATGTCATTGCCTATCAAATCTTCGTCTCAATATGTCATCGTTTGATTACGTCATGAAACGTTTTTTTTCTAACGTCAGGGTCGCTGCTAGAGCGGCCGTATCAGAATCGTCACTGGACCGGACCGGCTCTCACTTGTGCTGCTTCAACTCATCACGATGTGACTTTTTGATTTATGGTGGTGTGAAACTACCATCGTTATGTGCGCGTGCTATGATGCTTTCTGGTGATGTATGTTGCCAGTGATAGCATGCCTTTAACTTGCATTTTGATTCTCGTTTACGGTGCTTTTCTTAATTTGGCTGTCCGTATCCTAAGTTAATGATACTTGAGATACCGGGATGAACTGTTTGAACGACGTCTTCATGACGATAATAGGTAGACGAGAATGCAGAATTCGTGCGACGTTTCCGTGACGTCATAATCTCCATGCGACTTCAAATATGGCGACGCAAAACTTTCTGCACAAATTCGCGTGCCTTTAGCTCAGAATTGGGAGGATTTCGTGTCTTTTACGGGAATAATTGTGAAATGCAGGAAATGATCTAGAAAATAAGCCATTTCAGATAAAACCCCATGTAAATGTGAAAGAGTCTCCTTAAATGCGCACCCCGAAAGTCGCAATATGGTCTCTGGGCTACCTGGACAACGGAGAACCGTATAATTGGCCCCCTGAAGTGAAATCGCACGTCATATTATTGCTTACTCCACATTGGAAATGTCCACTACGACAGCAGTGTAATTCAACCGCAAGTTACACTTCAAATTGGTACAGCAGTGCAAAGTTCACCGTTATAGATTGCTGTGGAATTGACACGTGAAGCCTGATTGTGGCGAAAAAATAAAACAGCGCAACCGCCATTTTTCATGGCAGTTGCTCAGAGCGACGAACACTGATTGGTTTCAGGATCGAGTACATGCCAGGTCTCGGATGGATGATGAAGCGCAGCGTCATCCAAGAGCTCCTGGACAAGTGGCCGGAAAAGGGAGAGGTATGAATCACTGGTAGTCATCATCTCATAACCTTCTGTGCAAGGAGACAGCACATTTGTCGTTGTCAGACTCTAGGAGCTTTTGCCCGAAATGCGTCTTGCTGGGCAGTGTGCACCTTTTGTGATCAATCCTTACGAATATGCATTATTCGAAGCAGAGTCATAGAGACATTAGAAGCAAGGGACCACTCGCCTCTCCCTCCCCAACCACCACCACTCCTGTTTCCTCACGCATCGCTCAAACAAGCTGAACAAAGTCCGGACTGAAAACCTGGCCTAAAGTCTACGCTCCAGTGAGGAGGCGCGCTTCGCGTCCCTGCTAACCTTGCCGCCGCCGCCCACCAGGCATACGACTGGGACGTGTGGGTGCGCTGGGACTCGAAACCGGCTGGAGCGCGAGTGCGTCATCCCAGACGTCTCGCGTACCTACCACTTCGGCATCGCCGGCCGACACTCCAGCAGCGCCTTCCACTCCATGTACTACGTGGACCACGCCTTCAATCGCAAGCCGGATGTCGAGCTCCGCGGCGTCCAGGAGTGAGCAGGGCGGGGCGAGGGGGGGGGGGGGCGGGACGGTGACCCGCCAAATGGAGGCCGACACTGAGAGGAACAGCTGCCCTTTCGGGTCGGGCTTCCTCGCATGCGAATGGCTTCAGGTGTTGTCGGGCTTGATGTGGAACGTTTTTATCAGTTTCGACCCTGATGTGTCGGATGTGGACGCGAGACTGTGGAATTCGCGCTGCAGCCAGTCACCTGAACCGCCGAACTGTTCGGCCGGCGGCGTTACACATTTCAATAACTACCGCTCCGCAAGATATTTTACAGCGTAGCTACAACCTATAACGTTCACATTTTGCCAGACCTATCATGTGAGGTGAAAGGTGGAAGTGCCTAGAACACCACGACGAGCCGTTCCCGCCATGGCGCGACGTTCACTTTCAAAGCGATTGTGTTGACCTTCGAATCGCTTGCGTCTACCGTGCCCGCCGCCATTACAGTGGCGCCCTCGCGTTGCAGCATGGTCAAGGACCGGTACGAGCAGGAAATCCGGCGGCTGCTGTCGGAGGCGTTGCCAATCAACCCGGACGACTTCCAGCTGTCTAAGGTAGAGCCGAAGGACGGCGGCGATTGCGAACTGGAGCTGACCAGCACCGGCAAGACGTACGCCTTCTTCTTCAGCATGACGGCGTGGGAGGACACCGAAATGTACTCAACCGTGTGCAAGGTGAGCTGTCCATTGCAGGACACAGGTGGGGGGGGGGGGGGGGGGGTACGCACGCACCGTCCGCACGGTGGCGAACCCGTTGTAAAACTGCCCAGATTCCAGTAAGGCTTAGCGTCTCGCGGTTCTGAACTTGGAATGTGGGTCTTCGTACCGACCATGTTTTGGTATTCTAACAATATCCGGTGTTAGGGGTTTGTCGCCAGTATCGATTCCGTCGATTTGTCAGTCAACGACATTACTGTCGATACATTTAGGCTTTTCGACCAGCGTTCATATCGAACATTGATTTCCGTCATTTTCTGCCAATCGCCGTGCATTACTTCAATTGCCATTCGATGTTATGAACAAGCATGATTCTCCATTTCGGTGAGCATCGGGTTCAAGACAAAGCGATTACATGGGACTGTTGGTGCTGTTATACCGCTTTTAACACAGCCTCAATAATTTCCCATCGTTGACTGTTGCACACGAAGCAAAAAGCTGCGAATTATTCCATCGCATGTCGCTCAGGTTGGTTTCGATGCAACCTAACATTCTTGCTTGCCTTGTATCCTCGGTTGGTGTTGATCGCAGGCGAAGGCAACGGTCCGAACCCGTCTGTCTTGCGTCGCGCTGCGGTCTTTTTTTCGTGGCGCAGTATCTCCTGAGTGTCACATTCGCCGTCAGCCCGTCTGCGCTTGCCTTTCCTTTCCAGCCGGTCTCCAGCGAGCTTTGCTCTTCCATCTGTGGACTGGTTTGTCACACGACTGCAGCGAAGGGCGCTCCGCTCACCCATGTCTGGCCAAAGGACTGCAACAGAGGGCGCTCCGCTCAGCCGTGTCTGGCCAAAGGAAGTCCGGGGCTCAAGAGTGACACCGCCGACTGCAGCGACGGGCATTCTGCTCGGCCGTGTCTGGCCAAAGGCGGCGCTGGGGCTCAGAGTTGGCAAACCGCCGACTGCACGACGGAGTGCGCTCCGTCGCCTGTCTGGCCAAAGGCGGCGTCGGGGCCAGGGGGGTGTCATCCGTATCGGTTAACACTATCAAAGTGGGCAACATCAAGCTTGCGTGAGAATACAGGGTAGTTTGGCAGCAAAGCCCGCATGACGTCAAGTATACCATATTTGATGACGTCAGTGGCACGGAAGCCCTCAATTAGCCAGCTGACTGCTACACAACCCACTAGTTTGAGTGTGAGTATGTTTTGGGGGCGTCCGGCTGGCGCTTCCCGGTTGGACTCTGAATGAGTGGTCCATGGTTTTTTCATGCAAACACAATTCTTGAAGGGAGATTGAATCTCGGAATAGTTTGACCTCATCATAATTTTATGTTCTTCCGTGGGGTGTATATAACTAGGGGTTAAATGTCATGCGGCGTTTGTAGCGCATCGCGTGTCGCAGTTGCTTGGCTCTTTATATCAGTGGGTTGTGGCCAGTTGCCATGACTACGCCTCGTACGAGAGATCTCCTGAGCAGTTTGTCTTGAACAATTGGTAACATTTAAAATGCTCGGTCTGTGAACATTTTATTATGCATATGTGTACAAACTATGATATAAAGAAACACTTGACACTAGCATCATAAAGCCAATATCATAGGGTTTTACTGTACTTACCTTACTGCACTCACATCACTGTGATAAGAGCGAGAGCTATTGCAAATCAATGTTGCAAATAGTCATATAATCATACCTATAGGCAAAGTAAATTATGCAAGCTGAGTCGTTCCAATCTTGCCAACCAGACCAAACGGCACAGACAAGTCTACGGCTATCTAACGACAAGCCTGGTCATGGAATGCATACGCCACAAACGCCGCAGACATATACACCCATGTTATAAGCATCATACATGCAAAAATCGTACATTCTGATGAGGCTTAACTGTTCCATGACTCACTGCTCATTCCACAAATGTGTGCGAATAGGAAATGACGGATAATTTCTTTCTTCTCAGATCCAACGGGAACCGCAAGCCTCACGCTACCAAGACATGCCCACTATTCAAACTAATGGGGTTGTATAACAGTCAGCTGGCTAATTGGGAGGCTTCCGTGCCACTGACGTCATCAAATATGGTATACTTGACGTCATGCAGGCTTTACTCCAAACTACCTCTTTTCTCAAGCAAGCTCTATGTGCCATTTCTTCGGACCGGACGGTTCTACCTCGTTAGATAGCCTTGGTCGGGGCTACAGAGTTGACAACGCCGACTGCAGCGAAGGGCGCTCCGCTCAGCCGTGTCTGGCCAAAGGCGGCGTCGGGGCTCAGGAACTGACACCGCCGACTGCAGCGAAGGGCGCTCCGCTCAGCCGTGTCTGGCCAAAGGCGGCGTCGGGACTCAGGAACTGACACCGCCGACTGCAGCGAAGGGCGCTCCGCTCAGGCGCGTCTGGCCAAAGGCAGCGTCGGGGCTCAAGAGTTGACAACGCCGACTGCCCCACTGTCGACGGCGGGTCGCTGCTCTCTGCCTATGTCCGAGCCGATGCCGGCCGATGCCTGCCCTGCCAGCTGCGGCTCACTATGCGGTGTTTGCCGGCAGTGCTTCAAGATCTGGGACCTGGACGTGCGCGGACACCATCATGGCCTGTGGCGCTTCACGTACTACGACAACAACGTCCTGCTGTTCGGGGTGCCGATCACCATGTACATGTAAGGCCAATTCCATTCATTACCGTCCGGTTGCCCCATTAACGTTTGCTTGTCAGATCGCTGGCAGACAGGACGAAAGAGCACTGAATGAGAAAATTAGACAAGGATATCATACAGGGTCTATCGCATTTAATTCAATGCCAGGTTTATCAGTTTTTTAAAACAATTTGCAAAGTGCAATCATTTTCTCACGTGATGTGTTGAATGCGACTGGTCGATGCGTTTAGAGCGATTTTTCGGAGTGGAAAATAATCGAGGAATCGAGCTGTATATCAGGTAAACGTGGACGGTGTTACCTGTTTCAGGAACGATGTCGTGAAGCACTTCTCTCACCCAGTGCAAGTTGTCTCAAGTTTGAAACATGCAGAGTGAAACTGTTGTCTGGCTACAACAGTGCCGTCTTATGGAGCCATGTTTAGACGCCGGTATTTTTGAGCTCACGGCAACTATTCAAGTCTACTGGCTTTGAATTAGCTGGAAGTTGAGCGCACACGAAATTTGTCGATTCAAAGCAGGTATTCCGTTATTTGCTGTTATTGCGGCAATTGTCTCATGTCATCCACACTTATCTCCGATGATTTTTGTTAGCGTCTTGGGTGTCTTTGCAAACACCACATTTGTGTTCCTGTCAATCGTGTCCTGTAGTGCACCTGGGTCGCGTTTACCATCTGACGATGAGCACGAGACTGGTTCTAAACCGTATGTGAAAATAAACATAACCATTTTTCGCATCATGTCCGTACTTGTCGCTACGATCCCTATTCATACTGAATAGAGACTGAAACATTTAATGATGAATGAGGGTAATCTATCGTGATTGTCAGATTATCAGCTTCATTCGATAGCATTCTCGGCTCAACTAGCCTTACAGTGATGCATTTCCCTATTCGTTTGGATGGATTGTGCCCCCAAAGAGAAATGCAGTTTCTTGCCCCCTTAGCTTAGGCTCCATTTACCCCACCAACTTTGAGACGAAAGTGAGCGAAATCTGGAGGGAAACACGTTTGCTGACTCTTTTAGGAGTAAGTTGAACCATTTGCCAGTGCTTAGCCCCTCCCATCACAGACATACTCATTTTAAGAAATTACGTCCCTGCCCCGAACTCTGAAAGGAGAGTGGCTGCAAACTCGGGAGAAGTCTGCTTCAAATGTTTTTTTTGTTTTTTTGGAAGTTGGTTCAGATATTTCTCCTTGCTCACCCCTCCCCTCCCACCCCACACCTCCTATGTATGTCGCAAACTGCATGCCAGTAGTCCTACATCTACCGATAAAAATAACATTTCAATAACCTGAGAATAACATCACATACAAGTAAACAAATAAGGAAACAGACAATGCATCTAAATTAACACCTCTGGCACTCCTTCGCTATTTAAACCAGCGACCTTCCACGCTATAGCCGCTGTTCCTGTCAGAAGCAGGAAGCTTCGAATGAATCCTTGGAATATGTCGTTTCAACACCTTCCGTTGACCTCTGGAGCTACAGGTTAGATATCCATAAACAGCGACCCTCGTAGACCGGAGGCGCTTTTAACACTACTGCCCTTGCGGCCGCCATCTTAATTGTGAACCAAATCTCTTATCTTGATCAAGATAATATAGATGGGCATGTTATATCTCTTCTTGGGCGGTCACAAGGCCTAATTCAGCGTTAAATCCGAGGTCAGTTGTCAGACTCAAAGCAGGCCTCTAACGCACAGTGCGATGCCATCTGGAGAGACCTTGAGCGCAGTCCTACCAGCCAGTACTCGTCACATTTCCCTGCTTTTTTCATATTTATCATCACTATGTACACCTAGCTCCCCTTCGTTTTCTTCGAAGTCCATCTGCTTGCTGGTGCAACAGCAACAGCGTGCGATTTCTCCCTCAACAATAACAGAAGTCTGTATGCCGAAGACCCGCGCTGGGGTTGTTCCAGCTGCAGGATACAGCACTGCATGCCTTTCTTTCAGCGGTGTAGCTGTAGGTCATTACATCCAGGAGTGATTCGGGAGTAACTACCGCTGTTGAAACGCCAGTATGATGGTGGAGACTTCGACGCTCCAGTAGAAATTAGCAATATCTGTAGCTTCTGCTCTTCGGGGAGGGACACAACGGGGGCTTCATCTGAAAAGAGCCAGGAGTGCAGTGGGTCAATCGAGTCTCCACACTTTCAGCCAGGTCTTCTGCGGTCCCAGGAACTGACCAAACGACGCGGTGCGGCACCTGACCGAGGTCAACCAGCATCTGCACTACGGTCTCGCTGCCCGTGTCACCACACGTGCGCGCCCGCCGGTAGCTCCTCCATGGCATGCTTGGAATTATGCTTCACCTGCCGCACGTGTCAGCTCAGTTAGCTGGTATGGTGGTGAGCTATCATGAAGAAACACGTCAACGCTGCCTTGAAACTGTGTTGCAGAAGGGAGAAGTTATCATTCTGTCCTCCGCGAGGAACATGAGCGCCAGCAATGTAGGTTTCAAAAGGCATTTCGCTCACATTCTGCCGGCCAGGCACTCTTTGGCTGTCTACAGATAGTCTCTCAGCTCCTGGTATGTGTTGGTGTCTTTCAAGAACAACCTCTGCAGCAGCACGACGATTGTCAGATGGTTCCTCTGCGACTCATCCGCCAGGTTATTCAGCTGTAACGCTACAAGGGGCCTTCAAATCTGAACGCACCTCAAGTCCCGAAAAAGACGCTGTCTGCTGAAGAGTCATGATTTCAGTTCACTGCCGTCAGGTTTAGTCAGCAGTGAAACGAGGAATGACTGCGGAAATCCACAAGACTGACAAACCGGCCGAGTTGACGGGCTCCAATGCTCAGCAAGACAGAGGGGTGGCAGACTTTGCCCTGAAGTCTAAGACACTGGTGGTGTTCAGACCCGTAGTCAACTCGCTGCCTGACAGCCAGGCAGCATTCTACCAAAGCTTTTGTATCTTGAAAGGATCCTCAATGCTTGTTTTCTGTTGTTTGTTTCTGTTTTTGTTGTTGGATTAGAACCCTTTCGACCAGAAATGATCATTTCAGGGCTATGGGATGAAGGAAAATGGTTAACGATGGGACAGACGTGCGTGCGCCTGGGGGGCCAACCACCGAGCTTTAACCCGCGCATGCGCGGGTACCCGGTCGGGGTCCCCCTCCCACGGGGCTCTCGGCCCACTCGTGGCCGACGCATGCAGCCCGCCCCGGACAAGCGGGGTGTCGCGAGGATGCAGGATGAAGCGAGATAGAGGATAAGAGGGACAGATGTGTACCCCTCAATGTTTCCGGGATGCAGCACACCTATCTCACAGTTGAGCCCCACTCGCGGCAGGCTGCATGCCTAATCCAATCCTGGTCGGGAAGCATCTTCAGATGCAGCTTCTTCAGTATGATAATATAGGAAATTTCATACAAACTCCTCATTGAGCACTGCATATTTAGCCAACACTGCAAGACCAGCGGCGTGCTTCGTGTTTTACCTGATTTGATGAGAAATATAGGGCGTCACCTCGCGGCGCACCAGTGGCGCCGCCACGCGGCCTTCCAGCCATTGCTGCGTCACACTGCTCAAATGAGGCGAGAGCAGCGCCACGCTTGATAGGATGACAATGTAAAAGAAACGTCAACAAGTATGGCTAGGGCGCGACCAAACAGCAAGATAACCCATAATGTCACTGCAGTGATCCACGAAAGATAAAATTTCTGCAGCAAACTGAAACATAATTAAAAGTGGATGTAGATGAAGTAAGGAAAATAAAAAACTTACCAAAAGATGAACCGATGCTCCAAGAATCGCTCCCTATCATGAGGCCAGTGTTTGTATATAAGTCATGTACTTCAGCGCTGTGAGGGTGTGGCTACGCTTGTAAGTCCCCTGACTTCCGGGGTATCGTCGGGTGTGACAGAATACCCTGCATAGTTAATCGCTCTTTCCGCACAAGAGAGGGAGAGCGGGCGATTAATAGCAGGGCTCCATCCATGTCGCTCACCTGCCTACGCCTGTCTCAACTCGGTTGTCTAGTCTTGCTTTTTTCGAGATCTGCCGTACAAAATGACAGCTGAGCGGGTACGGCACCTGCCACATCAAGAGCATCAAGCAAAGTTTGCGTACAGCAGCAGCAGAGCTACCATTATCAAGGAAGGCGCACGTGCTGACTGCTTTGCCCTCGTTGACGCGAACTCCGACAGGTGTGGCGGCCATGCCACTCCACAACTTTGCAGTGCCAGCAGTGATGCTCACTGTTCTATTCTCGACAGCGATCTCAGGTTTCTGCAGCGTCGCGTTCTGCGAGGGCGACGCCAAGCTGCTCTCGTGCAGAGCCATTTGATGGCGTTCCTCTAGCAAATTTTGCAGAACCTGTGTCCATGTGTCTTGCACATGGCCAATTTGTGTCCCTTATGTAGACAACCGAAACAAAAGGCATGATCCGTGATGGCTCTCTTCTTTTCCACGGCATTTGTTCTCTTGAAGAACCCTCCAGTCTTCAAACCAATGATAAGGGGTGAAAAAGCTTCCAGTTCGCCGGATATGATCACTGACAAAAATGGCCAATGCTGTAAGATATCTGGTAACAAAACCGCAATAATGGATCCCAATGATAACAGAACAACCTCGTCAGGCGACACACAAAGCTTAGTATTGGTCAATACTCTCCAACGCTTGCAGCGTGAGGTTGTGTAGAACGTACGTCAGCATATTGGCGCTTGCTGCATAAACGAGTTACGGCACCAAATGTTTCAAATTTAGTAGTTTCTATCCGGACAATATCTAGCAGATGACAAAACATGCTGACAAATATTCAATATAATTGCTAACGTCACAGACCAGTGGTGACACAGTGGTTTTGTCTCTCCGTGTCAATGTGCCTCAGACCAGTGCTTTTCGCATATTTCCGAGCCAAGATTCGAACAACATGCTAGACAGAGTAGAATACCAAATAACTGGACTTATCTCTAGTTATTGATATGGTGGTTTGCCTCAGCATCTTACTATGGATAAGGTAAGTCTACCAAGCGGCTTTTTAAATATTTGTGCCGCATGAAATAGGTGGCTTCAAATGCTCGCAATGCAGTCCATTTTAGTGCGATTTATGGGTTCAGTGCTGGGACGTACGTAGTGCAGCGCGCGCTACCGCTGGTTGTGTCGTAATAATCTCAGCATGGAGAACATAGCCCATCGTCAGTTTCTAGTTTCTTTAAGGCACTATACGACCACTCTAGTTACGCATCATGTAGAGTGTCACTGGCAGTAGCGTTGGAAAGCCACGCCAATCTAGGAGGATCCTTAGTCACAACCTGCAGCTCCAGAGGTCAGCATCAGGTTTGAATTCAAATGCATAACGTTTTTCCAATTTGGCTATTTCTTGGTGACGTTATCCTCAGATGATTGAAATACCATCTTAATTAGTGGATGTAGGACTACTGCAAAGCATGTTTTCGAAATGCATAGGTGTGGGGGGGGGGAGGGGGAGGGGGCAGTAAGAAGAAATGCCTGAGCCTAACTCCAAAATGCACTTCATCGGCGTCCTACCGGGGATGTTGACTTCCCCCCACGGTTCTTCCAGTACAGCCAAAAAAAAAGAACGCTCGCAGCCATATCAAACTTCTAGTACCTGTTCATGCACTAATTTGGCATCCTTTGTGTAGGGGAAAGCGGGGCAAGACGGGCACCTTAAGGTTTTTTTAACATGGAAAGTTCATAAGTCTGTCCAGAAAGTCTTTAGCAGGTGGATATTGAACAGTGATCAATTGTCTATCTCTTATAAAAGCGCTGGT